CCATTATAACTTTATAAGGAACAACTTTTTTATTTGCTATATTTAATGATTGAATGACAATGATTACCTTCGGCTTACTTGTCCCCGCTCGCCTACTATCTTTAACCGCAAGCTGAACCGAACCTTTTTATACGTATAAAATTAATCTGCTGATACATCGACTCCTGTCGCTACGAAAACACGTTGTATTTTTTGCAAATTGAATCGATTGAGTTTGCCTTTCATAATGACTGCGTTCCCAACTGCACACACTAAAAAAAAGAAAACCAGTGCGTCTACTATCCCGCACAACACTCGGAGATCCAGTCACCGCAACTTATGGAGGCAGCTCAGCGAATGACGATGTCGAAACATGTGTTTTGACCAAAAAACGCAGTCTGAGCTGTGATATTAAGGAATGCGAGCGTAACGTTTTACATTGCTTCATATCACAACTCAGACTGCGATTTTTTTGGTCGAAACATATGTTTCGGCATCGCCATTCGCTGAGCTGCCAACGTAAGTTGCGGTGATAAGCTCTCCGAGTGTTGTGTGGGGAAGTAGACGCACCGGCTTTTTTAGAATGCATAGGCGTTCAGTTATATATATCTGGGTAGAAAAAAACAACAAAAAACCTTCGAATATACTATTATGGTTCAGAGATGTTAGCAGATTTCTTTGTAGAAGTCTATATATTTCTATAGTTTTCATGGTGGGTAAAACCATACATAGCTAAGTGAAGGCGTATCTGAAATTCCAATATATCCTGCGTCTTTCATGCGTCAAGATATTAAAATATAAAAATGCCTGAAAGTCTGCTGGAAGATTCAACCATTCATTTCCAAACACATACACCGAAATGTCTGTGCACAGAAACGTCCAACACTGAAATCTTTATTTCAAAATGTCCTACACCCAAATGTCCGGATCCATTAAAGGAGCCCCGCAACGATCTGTTCACTAGTTTTTAATTTGCACCGAACCTGAGCGCAATGAAAGCAGTACTTTCGTGAAACTTTTCTCGAAATTCACTTTATCTTAAAAGTTATAGGCAAATTAAAATGACAAAAACAAGCAAAAAATAACCTCCTTTATGACGTCCCTGGTCCTGGCTTGGGTCCGGTTGAAATATGACGCACTGATATTTAGTGACTCTCTCCGTGCCCGCTGGGTTGCCTGAACCACAAGAGATGCGGAAACCGCAAAAAAAAGGTATATGTAGGATTGCAGGGCCCGTTTAGAGAGACGATGAAATGATTTTTCAACTTTTTCCTCCCTAGCTTTAATCCTAAACTCAGAAGCGAGATGAGAAATCCCGTAGTCTTGGCGTGCTAGGGTACGGAAGGCGATGACTCCAATAAGCTTCCCCACCGCACACCGTGCAACTTATCGTTCTCAGGTGATCATAAGTGCCGTCAAAGCACTCAGGCCACGAACGCGAATACAAATATTTGTCGACGGATTGATTCTCGACGAGCACATAGGCCCTTGAGTTACGCGGTGCCCGTGTCCAGTGCGTGAGCTGGGTTCGGCTAACGTGCTCGGACACCGCGGAGGCATCCCAGTGAAAAGGCGGAGATTTCTCGAAGGAAAGGAGGTATAGGAAAGGGTTCACTATAATTTCAAATTTTCGTAGCGAGAGGGAAGCTTTAGGTTTTGAACCTCGTGCTCTAGTTTTATTTCGGCGCATTAAACGATATGCCATTAGTTAAATCCCAATTTTATCCCAGTCGAAAGTTCATTTCATGGTCCCTTTAAGCCGGGGTCCCACTGCTTAAGCCGGGGTCACACTGGTCATACCTTATACAAAAGACAATCTGCAAACACGACTCACCGCAATATCCGTGGCTCGAATGCCGCATGCCCGAGTTTCCTCCTTGAACTCATTGCCATACGGCATTCGAAGCACAGATCTGGCGGTGACTGGCGTTCGAATTTGTACGCAGACTTTCCTTTGTATGATGTATAAGCAGTGTGACCCCGGCTTTATGCATCGTACAAAGGACAGTCTGCACAGAGATTCGAACGCGAGTCACCGCGAAATCCGTGCTTCGAATGCCGCATGGCAATGAGTTCAAGGAGGAAACTTGGCACGCGGCATTCGAACCACGGATATTGCGGTGAGTCGTGTTGCAGACTGCCTTTTGTATAATGTATGAGCAGTGTGACCCCTGCTTTAGGAACGATGCTTTATTTCTCTCGGAACCTGGGCGTGTTTGGACTAAGCAGTGACGCTGACATGCCCACTATGCAGTGACGCTGACCTCTCCCCAAAATTCTCCGTAATTTGAATGATCCATAATAATGAAACCGAAAGGCGTGCATTTACCCAATTCGCACCCAAGCCTCTGTGTAACGGGGTCGGTATTAACTGTACTCGTATTCACCTCAAAAGCCGTTGTAAAAAAAAACTCCATCTTTTCTTATAATGTCACTAATTTCCCCCTTTATCTGTTGAATTAAGATTTACCCAGGAGGCATCTTCGATTAGCTTTATATTATTTGATCAAGACGCACACGTTTCAAACACAAAAAGCATCGTTTTTTTACATCCCAAACTAAATTTTGTTAGAGCTACTTCGCACAGCGCACGAACAATGCCGAAAAACTTCCTGTGCTTTTCCTGAGGGTATACACAGTGTATATCCTCAAAGACTGTTCCAATAATCGCAATCTGCGCGCTTCCATCTTCGTCCACTGGGCTGTAGGACGTGTCCTGAGCAAGTGCATGCAGTAGCTTTTTTGCTGCGAAATATCATGGACGATACCTCAGAATGCAAGATCGGAAGAAGAGGAAACCAGCTGAGCGTAAGGCGTGTTTTCCTCATCATCACAGAGGCAGCCGAAACAGTTTTCGATCGACAGGGCGGTCACGCTGCTCGGTTACAAGCTCGACTGCAAGCTGGGAGATTTCAGAGCCCGCTTCGGCGAAGACCGCCGCCCGGCCAACACCGGTGCCGACCCTTGGAGCCCCATCACGACGGTGCTGGACTCTCTGCGTCGACGGAAATTCGGGCGGCTCGTCAGCAAGCTGTGCACGCGGGGGGCCCTCGCCAGGTGCTCAAGACCGGCCTGCGGGAAGTCAGCAGCCCATAGCAGCCACACGAATACCACTGTCGAGAAGAACGCTGCAAGCCTAACGCCATTCAACATCTTCAACCGCAACATCAACCCTTCACCCTCGTCCACAAGCTCCATGTAAACCATCATCACCGTTTCTTTTAAGAATTTATCAGTGCAGTACCATTTCATCATCGTTGGACGCTGCGCCGCGGGCTTTCACGGTACGGGCGACTTGCCTTTCTGTGGCGCCGCGGCTCTCCTGAGGCGAAATAAATCACTCTAAATGTCCCCATTTAGTGCGCATTTATATTTTGAGCTGCCTTCCCGATTTCGATCGACTCGCCTTCCTGTTTTTGACTGAGATAATTAGACGCGCAGTTTGTATGAAAACAACATTGTGGGCATTTGTTGTACACCTTTTGCGCTTTAGAAAGATTCATCTTCCAATTTCGATCAACTCCTTCCTTACCAAAGGTCTGTGTTGCGGCGAGAAACGGGGAGCACGTTTCGCGCTACACCTAAGTTCCGTAGATCGACGATAATGGCGAGGACGATAATTCGCGGCTATTTTTTGTATTGTTTGGTTCGTTCGCGAGCACCACCAAGCGGCTTGTGGTAACAGTCGCCATCGCGCCAATGCAACGGTCTGAGGAGCAGAACCAGCGCGAGAAAAATCTCGGGAGACCGTGCTGAAGTATTAGTTTTGTAACATTTTCGTTTTTCTTTATTAAAAAGCACGCGGCAAAAACAGTATCTAGATTCGCTCCGGCAGAGACATGCATACCTATATATATACACATTATAGTGTCCGAGGAAACAATGCACAAAATGCGAGCAGAAAGGACCACGGCCAATACCAAAGTGGGAAGCAAGGGCGCAGCACTTATCGTACCTTGTACGCGATGCCCGAATCTAATTTCCTTCGTCGACGTCAAAAAATTCACTTTATGCTCGTGGTTTCATTTTTTTTTTCGTTATACTTCTTTTTGACGGGATTTTTGAAGTTTCGTTTTTCACGGAGAAATATACTGCGGACGGAGCCTCCAGTCAAACGCTTTAAAATAAAGCGCTAGAAAAAAAGTTGAAAAGAAATAAAACTAGAAACCGACGGCACTCTGAGCGATCGGGGGCGGTGAGTCCCCCGAGTGTACGTTTAAAGGCATCAGCCCTTTCGTGCTCTCGGAAAGAGGCGGCAGTGGGAACAGCTCATATGCCATGAGCAGTGCATGCGCCACGTCAGCTCAATATCAAAGCGAATTTAATTCCGGAGCACAGACAAATTTAATCTTCTTTTTACGCGTTCGTGTGTGCATGCATAGAAGGTATGTGCGTTCACGAGAACATGGGTGCGCGTTTGCGTACGTAGACAGGCCAAAAGAGTTCGTGTGTGTTTTGCCGGTTGTGTAGACGTTTTAGATGACAGATATGCGGCGACTTCTCGACTGCGCGTGTAACAGATGAACGTGTAACCACGTATTTCGAGAGAATAGAGAAAAAACTGTAACGAACTTAAACAACAAAGACATTAAAATACGCGAGAGAAATGTACGCCAGCTGTTACACGTATTATTCAGTGAAGGTGAAATGGGTCGATGAGATGAGTCGGACAATGCGTCAAGTGCGAGCAAAGCTACAGTCACTGACGGCGTTTAAGAAATCCAGGGCCTATTATGCTCCCACCTCTTGCTTCCTGATTTGGTATCCCGATCAGCTGATGCCGCAATCCAGTCAAGTGCGGAGAGATAAGAGGATGCCACGGTTACGCTGCGAAGGAGCTCTAAGTTGGACACTCAGCGAGAAAGCCGCCGAGATCGCGCCGACCGCCGCCATTGGCCAGCACCTAGGTCAAGCGCGGCGCCGACCAATCGTGGCGCTCGGCGATCTCGCCGACATTCTCGCCGAGTAGTTCAACAGCCCCTGTGCAATCTGTTTGGATGCCAGAGACTTGTCCCACTCACCCAAACCTTGGTGTAGGCGTCGGGAGGGGAGGCTTCCGGGCGGCTTCCACCGGCCATCCCCACCGAGGACGGAGTCGACCTCGAGTCGGTCTTGGCCGGGGAGGGACTGCCGCTACGCAGGGGCCTCAGCAGCACTCCCTGCTGGAAAGGCTGCTGAAGATGAGGCTGCGGACGCTGCTGCTGCTGCTGTTGGTGCTGCTGTTGTTGCTGCTGTTGAAGCTGCCGAGCGTACGCCATGCGGAAGGCTGAACCCACCAAAGAGTTGAGGTCTTCAGCCTGAAACGAAAATGAGAGAGAAACTCTCTGTTGAAGGGGCTCTTTAGCTTCGTGAACCAATTTTTTTTAGGGCGTGCATTTTATACACGACCCATGTTCACCGGGTTGCGATAAGGCGACGGCGTTCCCAAAGTAACCGCGGACTCGGTTCCGGTGGTGAATCATATTCGGGTCACGCACGAAAAACTTGCATCGAGCTGCTTAATTATATAAGGGATTGGACAATGGTAGGAAGGGGAAAAATATATGCATAGTGCATGCCTACGCGAACCGTTCCTCTAATTGAGGGGAAATAGTTTTACTGAATGACATACCAAGTGCGAGTGCAAGGTTTAAAGTTTTGGTCCGAATTCTGCTGTTGACCTGCGAAGCATACTCTTGTTTGCTGCACGTTTCAGGGGTGCAAATTGAAACCACGATGACTCGTGTCCCTCGTTGAGATGTCAAGCATACTGCGTTTGTGCGACCGACCGGAATGTTTCCATTACCAGTGCGGTATGCAGTGAGTGTATTGTGAAACCTAATTACTCTAGGTTTTCACTGCTATTGTGGGCGTCTCGCTATATTTTGATTTTAATCAAGTTTCTCACTGCTCGGGCCAGGGAAAAACCATACGATCTTCTAATTTGACACATCGCTCATCGACCATGGCCGCGGAGGGCCTTCCTTCCGGCCAAGCAGCCACGCCAACCGAAATGGAACAGGATTCAACGGGTATGTCGAGCTCCTCAAGCACCATATCCTACTACGAAAGTGTCTCTGATGATCAAGATATGAATTCAGAGCCATATCAAATGGTCCTGGGCCGAAAGAGACGCAAACCATCTACTAGCTCAGACTGCAGCAGTAAGACAGTCAAAACCATGACCCAGGCTCATCCCCGCCTTACAGTGATAATCAAGCCCAAAGATCCAGTAAGCATGATTGCAACAATTAACCCGATGAAGATTACAGAGAAACTTGAAATGACTGCTCCAGATGGGGTCATCTTGGTTAGGCCCAATCGAAGACTCAACGTGCTGGCGATTGACACAAGAAACACTGAAGCCACGAAAGCGCTTCTTGGACTCACCTCATTAGGTGGAATACCTGTCATCGCTTATGAACCTTTTCCACGGGAATTGGCGGCCGGAGTGATCTACCAGGTACCAGCAGACATTACCGAAGCCGAGCTACAATCGGCAGTCCGTGCGACTGCACCCGTCATCTCCATTTCTCGACTGGGTAAATCTGAGTCTGTCAAAGTCGTCTTCAGCACGGACACACGACCAGAATATGTCACCGTGGGATACACAAGGTTCAAATTGCAGCCGTACATAGAGAAACCACGTCAGTGCTGGAAATGCGGTCGTTTTGGACATGTCCAAACCGCCTGCACGAACGACGTGCGCTGCACTCGCTGTGGAGGAGCACACGACCGTATGAAGTGTGAAGCGGCTGACCTGCTCTGCACAAATTGCGGTAAAGCACATGACTCGACATCGCATCTGTGCCCTGTATACCAAAGGGAAAAGAAAATATATCAGTACAAGAGCGGAGCTAAAGTTGGGTACACAACAGCAAAAGCGGCCCTACTGTCATCGAAGGAGAAAGTGTCCCAAGGTCGCTCTAAAACAGATGGTACAAAAACGAAACAAGACCTGGGAGCTCACCAACTTCTACAGGAGGGAATTCAAGATCCACAACCCTCCTCGTCAACACAGCTGCCAAACGCTAGACACATCCAAACACATGTGAAGCCAAGAGACGCCCAAGTATCCACCTTGGAGTTGAAGAATGAAAACGATTTTCCCAGACTCCCGAATTCAGCTTCGAAATCTGATGTAGAAGTCAAAGAAAACAGGCAACCCAGGCAGGACAAATCCAAGGCACCAGCCAAGGATCAACCGTCTATTACTGGGGACAAGCTTCAAACAATCGTCAATGTCATCCGTAGTATCCTTTGCACATGGGAGTCTCCCCTATCCCAAGCACTACTAACTGTGATCGATGCAATACTTCCACTTATCAAGCTATGGTGTCGTTAGAGAAGCTTCGTAGTGAAGCCACCGTCCTTCAATGGAACGCGAGAGGTCTTCGAAACCGACTAGCGGACTTTCGTCAATTTGTGTTTAAATATCAATTTCTTGTTATTGCGATTTCAGAGTCGCGAGTGTCTCACAACACCAGGTTATCAGGATATGAACTGTATCATTATCACGGAGGAAATGAACTCAGCAGAGTTTTACTCGGCGTTCGGAAGGATCTGACATTTGTTCAACATAACATCCCGCCACACCCTACAAATGAGTATATCGCAGCAACTATTAGAAAAGCAGAAGTTTCCTTCACAGTTATTGCTGGCTGCATACCGCCTCGAGCACCCTTCGACGTTCAAAGGCTCGATACTATTCTACAGCAAACCCCATCCCCTCATATTCTGACGGGCGATTTCAACAGTCACCACGCATCATGGGGAAGTAAGAAGAATAACACTCGAGGACACGCATTATTTGACCTCACTCTAAAACATGATCTTGTAGTACTCAATGACGGAAGTCCGACGTATTTTAGAGGGGCATCTATGAGTAGTCCTTTAGATGTTTCGTTCGCATCTTCAACGCTCTCTGGGGAAACAACGTGGTTTGCTGATATTGAAACACACGGTAGCGATCATGTTCCTACATACACTACGATTCAAGGAATGCACTGCACGAAGCGACGTACCACAATGTGTTATACTGACTCGAATCTCTTTAAAACCAAAATGGAAACCGCATGTATCGCGGTAACCGAGCCAAAATGTCTTGCAGAGGCTGTAACCTCTTCAACTTCTCAGGCAACAAGAAATGTCAACATGACAAAACCTCATACTGCAGTCGATGGTGAATATGAGCGTCTTTGGGCCATTCGTCGACGAGCAGAACGCCGGGCAAGGAAGACTAAGAATGTTGAGGATGTTCGGGCTCCTAGGCGAGCGCAAAAGCGTGTTCAACGCCACCTGGACAAACTTTTCAAAAGACGCTGGAGGTCACTTAGTTCCAACCTTGACCCGAGAAAACCACTCGATCGAACATGGCAAATAATGCGAAGCCTACGTGCAAGGCCAGAGCAAATTCACCCGTTCTGCGCCATCAGTCTGAGTCGCCAAGTAACAGAAACAGTCGTCGCTGAAGAGTTTTGTACCAAGATCACTTCCAGCTCTTCAAGGCCCCATGACAAAGTCAGTGCGCAGGAGGGACATGTATCCGTAAGTGTATGCAAGGCTATCGATGCATGTTTTACCTTAAAGGAATTTGATATGGCGCTCGAGATGTCTAACGTTAGGTCATCCCCAGGCACGGATGGTGTACGGTATTCAGCCTTACGCCATTTGGGGGAGGGGGCGAGGACCGCACTGCTACACATTTTTAACTCCTCGTGGGAAACGGGTTCTGAACCGAAGGAAAGGAAAATTACTCGGGTACTACCAATCTTAAAACCTGGAAAATCACATTTAGACATTAACTCTTACCGTCCGATAGCATTAACAAGTTGCATAGGCAAAGTAATGGAGCGAATGCTGCTTAGCCGTATGGATGGGATCTAGAAAATAGAGATCTATATCCTTCGTCCATGAATGGATTTCGACGCGGAAGAAGCAGCATTGACAATGTTATTGACTTAGTAACTAGTATTGAACAAATGAAGGTAGTAAATAAAAAAACAACTGCTGTATTTGTGGACATAAAGTCGGCTTTTGATTGCGTAGAACACAACGCTATTCTTCAAGATATGAAGGCCATTGGATTTGGAGGACGTGTATACAAATGGATAGACAATTACCTAAAAGAAAGAGAAGTCTACATATCGACACAGGACGGCAACACCAGTCTTCATCATATTACTAGGGGAGTACCACAAGGAGGCGTCCTCAGCCCAATGCTTTTTAGCATTTCTCTCATAGGTCTCCTGAAAATTCTCCCAAAAACCGTTCACGTGTCTATATACGCGGATGATATCTGCTTCTGGGCTTGCAGTAGATCTCTGTATATCAACAAAGCAAGACTACAAAACGCCATTAACATTACCGCACGGTACCTACACCTCCGAGGTCTGCACATATCGCCGGAAAAGTCAGCAGCGATGGCATTCACAAAAGAACACACGGACAAATACCCAATTGAAATAGACGGAAAGGAAATTTCATGTGTCACGCAACATACCTTCCTAGGTGTCACTCTCGATAGGCAGCTGACCTGGAGCCCCCATGTAAAACGCCTTAAAAAGAAGCTCTCCTCTTTCATCAATATAATCAGGATGATTAGTGGAACCAAATGAGGATGCTCTGTCTCCGCACTCCTTGCCCTTTATAATGCCTTATTTCTCGGACTTCTGCGCTACAGCCTGCCTGCTATGCATAACGTCTCACGTACTCTTCTAAAAGAACTCGAGAGTATTCAAGCACAAGCTCTCCGCACATGTTTAGGGCTTCCTAAAGGCACTTCTAATTTGGGATCTCTTGCGGAAGCACAAGCGATTTCACCAGCCGTTTTAAGAACGCAAGAAACGTTAAGAGCCCATCTTCATCACAAATCTCGTACATATAGGCATCACCTCACAAATATGGTAACACCATCTTCTGGCTTTGCACAAGTTATCGCACTCTTGGAGGATTACATCCCAACTTCTTTCGAAGCTGCGGTAATTCCAAGCTATCCACCATGGAGGTACCCTCACTTAGAGATAAGAACAAGTATTCCGGGAATCGCTTCGAAGAAAACAATGCCCACCCCCGTGATTACGCAGACAGTGCTGGAATACATAAACCGAACTTATGCCTCATTTAGACATGTCTTCACCGATGGATCTACAATGTCAACATCATCGACCCTGGGAGCCTATATTCCGTCTCTGGACGCATGCATACAAGCAAGGCTGAGCCACGTTACGTCGTCAACAGCATCGGAACTCGCAGCAATTCGAGCAGCTGTTGCTCACGTGGCAGCCGAGAGTCCTAGTTTTTGGGCTATCTTTGTGGA